TACGTCCGCAAGCTGCGAGCGAAGTTTTAGCAAACTAAAACTTATTAAAAATTATTTGCGGTCTTCTATGAGCCAGGAACGCTTATCGGGTCTTGCAATCTTAGCGATAGAAAATCGTATTGCACACGAGTTAAATTATGACAAGGCTATAGATTTATTTGCGGAACAAAAAGCTCGAAGAGTGAAATTGTAATTTCAATTTACAAATTTAATAATAGATATATTTGATTTTTATTTTTATTATGCATTTTTATTTTTATTTTAAACCCTACCCTGTTAAATATAATATCCTACATATTGATAGCTGAAATTATATGGATGGTGAAGGTGAATATAAACATAAGTAGGTAAGCGGGGCGGCATTTTTCCGTTTTTGCCCCGCCTAAAAAAAATTGAAGATCCGGGACTGGGTAACATTAATAGATTTACCTTGATCTTGAACAGAATAAAGGTTAGTCATATCTACTATGTAATCTAATAGTTCGTCGCTAAAAAACTTTTTAAAATATTGTTGCGGTGTCTTAACTTCAAATTGTTCTGCAAAAGTAACCCTTGTATCCACTTCCACGGTTCCTGTATATTTGGTTTTCTTAAATGTAAATCCTAATTGTTTTAGCTTACGCTTTTTTACAGCAGGTTCTGTTGATGGAAGAAGCATTGATGATGATGACTCAATATTAGCGATTTGTCTAGTACGACGACGTGTTGTTGCTGAACTTGGTGTCAGTGGAGATGTTACGGAATTTGTAGATGGTGTAGGTGGTACAAAGCATGGAGGTAGATTTTGAGGTCTAGCTACAAACGAAGATGAGGATGATGTGGATGGTAGGGCCGCCGCACCGCGCGGCCCCGCCTCGCGCCATGCGTCCCCCGCCACCGCGTCGCACGTCTCTAGTTCGCGGGTAAACTTTAATACGCTGGCACTGGCACCGACTCCAAAAAACAATAGGTAGGTATATAAGTATTACTATATTAACTATTTTAAGATATTTAGATGGTTTAACTTTAATTACTTTGATATAGTTTAGAAAAATTATAGTATTAGGTAATAGGTATTAGGAATTATTTTTTAATTTTTAGTTTTTTTTTGTGTTCTCGCATTTGAAGTCGGTTTTATTTTTTTTAAAAAGTTAATTATTTTATTTTAAAATGTTTAGTGTTACTTTTTTGTAGATACCCTTAGTGCATTTAATATGGGTAGGCCTACTAAACGCGCAGCCTTAATGAGACAGCGCCGTTTGGAGGAAACAAAAGAAGAAAGGGAAGTGCGTTTAAAAGAAAGTAGAGAAAGAAATGCTAAAAATATATTAGAGGAGAGTGATGAGCAGCGGACTTCTAGACTTTCGAAAATGAGAGCATACGAAAAGTTAACCAGAATCAATGAAAGCCCCGAACACCGGACTCATCGGCTTGGTTTGATACACGATCGCTTATCTAGCGAAACCGAAGAGCAACGCTCTCACCGGCTCGGCTTGATACACGATCGTTTATCTAGCGAAACGGAAGAGCAACGCTCTCATCGGCTCGGTTTGATACACGGTCGCTTATCTAGTGAAACCGAAGAGCAACGCTCTCATCGGCTCGGTTTGATACACGGTCGCTTATCTAGTGAAACCGAAGAGCAACGCTCTCATCGGCTCGGGTTGATACACGATCGTTTATCTAGCGAAACCGAAGAGCAACGCTCTCACCGGCTCGGTTTGATACACGATCGTTTATCTAGCGAAACCGAAGAGCAACGCTCTCACCGGCTCGGTTTGATACACGATCGTTTATCTAGCGAAACCGAAGAGCAACGCTCTCACCGGCTCGGTTTGATACACGATCGTTTATCAAATGAATCTACCGAATCGAGGATGACCCGATTAAATGCTATGATACAAGTGAGTCGTAACCAAAGGGTCATGTCTTCTAAAAATGATTTCGAAAGAGCAATTAATATTTTCGCGGACGTTCCATGTGCGGTTTGTAACAAGGCATTATACCCACAACAACGTTGCAATTTAAGCACTACAATGTTCAGTGCCTTATTACCCGAAGAACTGGTTAGTTTGCGTACTATTACGACATGCTCTCGTTGTCACAATAACATTAGAAAACGAAAAACACCACCGGCTGCTTTCTGGAATAATATGACTGTTGCCTCAATACCTGAAGAGCTAGCTAATTTGACAAAACTTGAAGAACGATTTTTATGTCGAGTGGTACCGTTTCTTAAAATAATGAAGCTGCAGAACAGATTCTGCCAGGATTGGTGCAAGGGACAGGTAGTGTTGTTCGCAAAAGACGTCGCAGAAATCGCTGAGCAGCTGCCACTTGCGCCAAACCAAGCAGGATTAGTTCTTGTTGTCGAAAGTCTAGAAAATTTGCAACGTTCTTGAGAGTTTGTTGTGAATATGAGCAGGCTACATAGAGCTCTAACTTGGCTAATGACTAATAATGTCCTATACAGAGATGTTAGAGCCTTATTTGATAATATTTTAGATATTTCTGAAATTGTTCAAATCGCTGAAGATCCGGCAAATACTGGTGAGTTAACGTCTGTTCCTCAAAATCATTATGTTAATTTGAATGAAAACATTTCAATTTTACATGGATCATTTCACCAAGCAGATTCTAGATTTAGCTTACATTCTCGTGGCAAACAATGTACTGCTGTAGCGGCTGTAGCTTGTGCAGCATTTTGTATGGGGGAACCAGAGCTATGGGCTAAAATTGACATTGACTATATAGTTATACTCGGAGATAAACTGTACACGGAGTCTGTTGCTACAAGACAAGCCCCTGCAGACGGTGAAGTTAACTCTGAATATCTCGCCGCTAGTGATCTTGCACCGCAAATATTGTATAACAGGAAAATAATTAATATCTCTGTTGTTGAGAGCAACTATAATGGTCATATAGATAACGATGAAAGTTCTGCCGGCTTGCCAAATCTAAAAAATGCCCTTACATTGTTTTTCAGCGACAACCGTTGCGGTTTACTTACTGCAAATGCCATCACTGTAGCGGTATATTGTAAATCTGCAGGTGACACCTATACATATTGGTTGTTCGATTCACATGCCCGTGGACCTAAGGGTGCGAAAGCCCCACGGCGAGGTGCTGCCTGTTGCATGAGATTTGAGCACATTCATGATTTGTATAACACATTGCGACGAAATTTATATTTGGTAAATAAAGCCCAAGACTCTCTTATGCATAATGTTTACTCACTGACTCCTTTGCTTGCTGAAAACCAACAAGAAGTGCACCCACATAGTCCTGTGTTAGATAGCAGTCACGTTTCTCAGCATGCATCTCTTCCGATCTCAGCTCCAGTCCAACAGCAGTCTTCACAACCACAAGTTCATCAAATTGAAAATATAATAGAAACGACAAGTATGTTGCGCGGCATAGACGAATCTGTTCCAAATCTAGAGACTATAGTTACAGTGAATCCCGACTCTAATACTAATGACAGCGAAATGAGGATTGCTGAGATCAAAAGGAAAACAGCACCGCCATTAAATGTAGATCGTGAGAAAAGAACAGAGGAACTTGCATGGTATTTTCTTTTCCCTGATGGTAAAAATGGATTTGGGGAAGAACGACCAGTAAAGATTACAGCTTTGGATTATTTCCAAAGTCGAATCATGAGCGTGGATAAAAGATTTAGTCGAAATGACTATTTGTTTTTTGCTCTGTCCATCGTTGAATATTTTCGGGCTAAATCTAGTGTATCGGTTTCATGCAGGATGCGTCAGGGTCAGGGTGAACAAACACCTCGAGGTCTCATTGACAACATGCATCTTACCATGAGAAATATACGAGGATCAGGGGGCCAATTCTCGGCTTTAGAGATGATGTCGAACTCGACAAAAATGTCTAATGACGTCATTTTTTCGTCAAATTTTAAAAGTTGCTATTCTGGAGATGTCGAATGCGACATTTGTCGAAGGCTAACGTTAGAGTTCATGTCGAGTGCTTCTGAGCAGTAGAGATGGCATGTCGATTGTAGAGATACTGAGATACGCCATTTCTGTGAATTCGTTGAGTTTCGAATTGTACAGTGTTTTCTTTTCTTTCGTTTTAAAGTAAAATACGGCTTGGCATCTTATAAGTATGAACATTGGAAATTCAGTATAGACTCTTCAATTTGTGTATTGTGTTTTCTTGAAACGACGACCTTCGCGTAAATAACAGTCTTTAATTTGTGTACCCACGATTGGGCTTGAAACTTGAAACATGGACGAGTTTATTAATATTTTTATCTTGGAGATGTTGGAAAGTGGCGAGCGACTGGCCAATACACGGCGGCAACAGCGCACCTATCCCGTCGTCGATATTTACGACTTGATAGCGAAGTTATTAAAAACTTTAGATTAAATAAAAATTTAATCAGAGTTTTAATAGACCTATTGGCTCCTGTAATTCAGGATACCACAAAAATAGACCTAAAAACGAAGGTAAATAATTCTGCTTCATAATTTTATTAGTCTATAAGTATTCCATAAAGTAACTTTACAGACCAAAAACTGCTTCCACAAGATGGACTAGTAATAGTTTTTGTTGGGCACTAGGGTATTTTTTCTCTCCCTGCATATTAAAACGAAAATTAAAAAAATGTCCAACAGAATAGCCCACTAGTGAGTGATGATGAACTTATAAAAGTTTTGAAACAACTGCTTACAGATCCAAATTGTGACACTGACAGACAGTCAACTGGAACTGTCCTGTCAAACTGAATAATTTTGCACTAAACGTTCCGTTTTAACTTAAATAATTAGGTTTAGTGAACGTTTTATGACAAAATCATTCATTCACTCACAACTACCTAAAATGGAACGTGCGATTCTGCATAATGGTAACATTATCTTCACTCGACTCGACATTTTCGTGACATTTGTTTCTATTTTGACTGAGAATACGGATTTCTGTGCAATTCGACATTTTTTGGTAGAGATAGAGATATTTTTGATAGACATAGAGATAGACTTACAATGTCGAACTCGAGATAAATGGCGAAAATCGAGAATTGGCCCCCTGCATCTTATTGGCATAAATGTTGCTCTGAACTCATTGCGATGGTCCGAACGTTAGGGGCACCTACGTGGTTTATGACGTTTTCTTGTAATGACCTTAACTGGCGAGATATGATAAATGCATTACTAATCGCAGATGGTCGTAACACAAATGAAGCAGAAAGCCTGTCATTTCCTGATCGTTTGGCGTTGGTACAAAAACATCCTGTAGATGTCTCTCGACAATTTACGATTCGCGTCAATGCTCTCATGCGATTTCTTAAAAGCAATCCAGATGTCTTAGGAGGTCCAGTAGTAGACTTTTGGTATAGGATCGAATTCCAAAATCGAGGAAGCCCACATCTTCATATGTTGGTATGGTGTCACAATGTTCCAGATTTCTCTACTCGAGAGGGTGTCGAGGTTATTGAAAGGGTTGTTTCATGTTCGCTAATAGACAATAATTCCTACATTGCAGAAATTAGTAGAGGCTGTGCAAATACACAAACACATTAACACGTGTTACAAAAACCGCAACGACAGTTGCTGTCGTTTTGGATTTCCCCGGCCACCACGTGAGAGTACTGTTTGCTTAGGTCCGGATGAAGTTTTGTCAAACAATGGCCGATTTTGTTGTTTGAAGAGAACTGAAGACGAAAGCATGGTAAATAACTACAATCCTATTCTGCTGAATCTATGGGCAGGAAATATTGATGTCCAGCCGTGTGGTAACATAACAGCAGTTGCATATTATGTTGCCAAATACGCAAGTAAGTGTGAGCCCCACGATACCGGTGAAGTCATACGAGAGGCTGTTGCTAAGGCGAAAAGGCAAGGTGGTGCTGTTTGGACACAGCTATTTGCAGTATCAATGGCCATTTTGTCTCAACGTCTGGTAAGTGCTCCGGAATGTGCATACAGACTATGTCATTTACCGCTAAAAATGTCTTCTCGGAAATCAGTCTTCGTAAACAGCTGTAAACCGAATGAACGTTTCAGACTCCTACGGTTCGATAGTGATGACACGTCTGTTTTTAATAATTTTTGACCGGTATGTGTTACGACCAGACGAATTAGAAGATTTAAGTCTTGCTGAGTTTGCTGTGCGCTTTGAAATGGTGTCAAACCCAACATGGAGTGAAGAGGATGGTGACGAAGAGTTAAGAGCCGAAGACGTTACGCCAGCAAGATTTATTCGACTAAGGGATAACACACGGATGCGTGTAAGGAACAAGCCAGCAGTATTACGCACGCGATACTTTACATTAAACAGTGACAAAGAATCTTACTATTACAGCTTAATAGTACGTCACGTGCCATTCCGTGACGAAAGTGACCTTCTGCATGAAGAGGAAACTGCTGAGGCGTGTTTTATTCGGCGACAACGAGAACTTCGCCCGTTACAGGGCAACGTAAGTGCAGAAGAGTTTGCTCACGCGGAACAGACCATACAACAGGCGCTTGCCCAAGCAGTCGCACTCAATGCTGCCCGTGAAACACATGATGTTAGTGCCCTTTAATTTGTGGTGGTGAACAAATCGTCAATAATATTGATGACAATTATTGTGAAGATGTAGATGAAAGATCCACAATGTCTGATGAAATCTTCTTGGCTAGCATCAGAGGATTAAATGTGCAACAGAAAGATCTTTTCCAAAAAGTTTCTGTAGCTGTCGAGAATGATTTACATGGACAAGATGGGCAATTATTATTTTTCATCACTGGTGGTGCAGGTAGTGGGAAGTCTTTCGTCTTGAAATTACTTGTGGAACATATAAAACGGTGTTATGCACCTACAGTTGACGTATTGCTCAAGGCAAAATTTGTTGAGGTCGGATCTTTGACAGGTGTCGCTGCGCGTCAAATACTTGGAAAAACCTTACATTCAATATTCTCACTTCCGATTGAAAAAGGAAATACCATGACATATAAAAAACTCACTGGTCAAAAGTTAGAGAATGAAAGACGAAACTGGCGTCATATTAACTGGCTGATCATTGACGAGATATCGATGGTTTCCTACGAGAACTTACGCATTATACATTTGCGTCTCCAAGAATTTAAAAACAATAACAAGTTATTTGGAGGGGTACACGTACTGCTTTTTGGAGATATTCTTCAACTACCACCAGTAAAAGGACATTGGTGTTTTATTCAACCGCCATGGTTTTCGGCCGAAATTAATTTATGGCAGCAGTTCTCCTTTTGTGAACTGACCATCAACATGCGCCAGCAAAACGATATTGAGTTCATCGATCTTCTCAATAGCCTACGAGTAGGTGATTTAACAACGGGTCAGCTGGAGTTACTCTGTGAGCGGCGACACGTGCCTATGTCTGGTGATTTTGCTGATGGGGTTGCAGTCCGTATCTTCCCCACAATACGTCAAGTAGACAATTATAATGATAAAATGACCGCTGAAAATTCCAAAACTAACCGAATGTACACCATAAATGCCGTAGACGAGTCTCGCGAGGTGGCAACTTATGGCAGAAAACCACCAGACAATGTTATACCTAAAGACATTAATAACTGTGGTGGTTTTCTACTAAGTTTAAAATTGGGTGTCGGATCACGAGTGATGTTGAGACGTAATATTTCGGTATCCGATGGGCTCGTAAATGGTGCAATGGGCATTGTCAAAGCAATAAAATGGCCTGCTCTGCGGCGAGATCAACTGGAGGAAGGCGAGTTGCCTGAAGCAGTACTTATACAATTTGATGACGCGACTATTGGGTTAAGAATGAAGGATAAAGATGGATACATATCAATTTCACCTGTTTGTACCACTTTCCAAGCGCAGAGGGGATATGGAGACGTCGAGCGAAGAATGTTACCGCTAATTTTAAGCTGGGCAGTAACAGTGCACAAATTGCAAGGCACCACCCTTAATACGGCTGTAATTGATTTGGGGAAGAAAAATTTCGCAAAAGGGCAAGTTTATGTGGCTCTTAGTCGCGTCAAAACATTAGATGGCATTGCTTTGTCCGATTTGGATGCTAATAAATTATTAAATCGACCACACGACGACAAAGCTCTCACTGAAATGATGAGATTGCGTAATCTTAGTGAATAGAGTGGAATTAGTAAGATTTATCAACTCTACGCACGCCGCTCATTACTCCCAGTGCCATTAGATATCTCGTAACAACTAACGTTCTATTCTTGGGGGTGAAATAAAATATAAAAAATAATCGTTCAAATTCCACCTTGACGGTTGAAATATTTTCTTCAAATTCGCATGAAACCACCCTTTTGATAATACCTATTCAACAAAAAAATAATCGTTCAAATTGGTTCATAATTGGCGGAGATATTGCGTATAAAAAATTTCATCCCCAATTTTCCACCCTTGGGGGTTGAAATATTTTCTTCAAATTCGCATGAAACCATCCTTTTGATAATACCTATTCAACAAAAAAATAATAGTTCAAATTGGTTCATAATCGGCGGAGATATTGCGTATAAAAAATCATCCCCCAATTTTCCACCCTTGGGGGTGAAATATTTTCTTCAAATTCGCATGAAACCACCCTTTTGATAATACCTATTCAATAAAAAAATAATCGTTCAAATTGGTTTAAAATCGGCGGAGTTATTGCGTATAAATAAATTCATCCCCTATTTTCCACCCTTGGGGGTTGTTATTTTTATTAGTAAATTTAAATGGGACCAACCTTGAGGTATTACCTATACGCCGAAAAAAGAATTTTTCAAATCGGTTCATAATTGGCGGAGTAATCGCGTAAAAATATAGAAAAAAAAAAAAAAAAAAAACATACGGGTCGAATTGAGAACCTCCTCCTTTTTTTGAAGTCGGTTGAAAACGAAGGTCGTTACTCCAATAATCTTCGATAGCTGGCATCTTAACAATTCCCATTATAATGACAATACCCAGTACTATTTCTATTTCTTTTTTGGTAACATTAATAGATTTACCTTGATCTTGAACAGAATAAAGGTTAGTCATATCTACTATGTAATCTAATAGTTCGTCGCTAAAAAACTTTTTAAAATATTGTTGCGGTGTCTTAACTTCAAATTGTTCTGCAAAAGTAACCCTTGTATCCACTTCCACGGTTCCTGTATATTTGGTTTTCTTAAATGTAAATCCTAATTGTTTTAGCTTACGCTTTTTTACAGCAGGTTCTGTTGATGGAAGAAGCATTGATGATGATGACTCAATATTAGCGATTTGTCTAGTACGACGACGTGTTGTTGCTGAACTTGGTGTCAGTGGAGATGTTACGGAATTTGTAGATGGTGTAGGTGGTACAAAGCATGGAGGTAGATTTTGAGGTCTAGCTACAAACGAAGATGAGGATGATGTGGATGGTAGGGATTCATTTTGATTTACGAGCGGATTGTCTTTTCCTGACTGAGTTCCTGATTCTGGCTCTGGTTCATCTAAGTCACTAAGATCTTGAAGTAGGTCATACATTTCAGACGAAATACTTCTCACGGAAGAAGAACAACTGAAGTCATTTTGAAGTACTCACGTGCTACTATTTTTTTCATCATCATCTTCAGATTCTAATTCCGAACCTTCTGAATCTGGAGGAGGTAACAGAGCCAGAATCTTCTTAGATCTCCAAGCTTTCGGCATGTTACTGAAACGAATACCGTTAATATTATTTTTTTACTGTAAAAATGTGACGTAAATTAACAAGATACTAGTTGGCAATGTCCGTTACAAATGACAAACATAAAAGCTACTCCTTGTGATACCTATTTGGCAATGTCCGTTAGAAATGACATCTGGATTTATTAAAATTTTTAAGAAAACAAACCAATTTTATCGTGGTAAAAACAATTGAATTCAATCAATAAATGATTATTTTAATAAAGTTACACATAACATTTGTAAAAATCAATCAAATACTTACATTATAACAATATTTTTGACGAGCGCAAACTGAGTCTACCGTTGCAATATTTGAAATGACTGACACAACACTCCTTACGAGCGAGAGAGCTGATTTAAACGCGTAAGTGTGAAAAGGATAGCCTAAAGGACGCTTCATGCCGCGCGAGAGCTGCAACCGTCGCTTCAAATTACACTTGTGTGCGTTTTTATTGTATGTCACATAGAACGGACAAAAACAATTTAAGGGATAATGCTCGCATATTGCCCTACAACAATCACCAGAAGTTGCTGGAAGATATATGCTGTGACCGGTATAACGAGGATTGTTTGGCCAGGTCATGTCATGCTTGTATGAATAAAAGTCCGAATTATAAAGAATTTGACAACAGGATTGTTATAAAATATAGAATGTGGGTTTCCGAAAGGCAACAAATCGAAGATTTCAAGACTAAAAAACTCCGCGTGGTGACTAAACATTTGCAAAAAACTTTTGAAACATATCCAAAGAGCCTCATAACAAATTTGCAGCAAGATTTAAGGAAATTTCTAGATCACCAGCGAAACATTATTCATCAGTACAAAGCCATTACCGATATGAAGTCACAGTTGCAAGATGATGAAGTTCTCATCCACATGGATTTTAGCGAGA